GGGTTTAGGGTTTAGCGGGTTCGTTTCCTAATGCCTTCAACCTCTCCAGCCGGAAGCCCTGCAATCCAGACTCCAAATGCAGAAGTCGCGGGCTGTAGTTTTGAGAGAACAGGCCCTGAACCACGAGTGGATCAAGAACAAGGCCCGGAGTGGGAGGGCAGTCTGACCGGTCCGGGCTTCATTGTCAGAGTGTTGGTTTATTTCGGTCTCGAGGGGGCCAATTTTTTGTGTCGCAGTTTTACAAGATACTCAATGTCAGGTAGGTCATTTGGTTTTGCTGCAGAGTTGCTTGGTCTCTTGTTCGCTGCTGAGTGTTGAGGGGTTGGGATTCCACGGATACGAGGGGCAGGAAGAACAGGCCGCAAATCCTCCAATCCCCACCACCCTCTTTGAGTGAGGCTTGGGGTGGTTAAGGGGTTGTAGTTGACCGGTTTCGGGCCAGATGTTTGAGGTTCTTCTTGTTCGGGTGTGAAAAGATTATGCTTGGGTTTTAAACTTTAAAAGTTCTTGAGTGTATGAGCCTGGGTTTTCGCTTGGGGGTTTGCGCGTTGTTCAGTACTTACTTGCATTTCCCCTCTGGCTCTTTCGCTGCAGGACCCTAAACCCTAAACCCTAAATCTGATAAATCTTACCTCGAAGTTTGCAGTTTCAAGGTCTCGGGTTGAGGAGTTTAGGGGTTGCGTCGTTAGGACTTGATGTGTTTCGAGACTGGGGAGGTTATGACTTTGGGGTATAGGGTTTAGGGTTGAGGGCTCACGGCCTTCACCCTAAACCCCAAACCCACAGAATGCGCGAAGCCTGCCCTGCCGAGGCGCCGAAAGCGTCCCACGTGTCCCTTCAGTCCAACTTCGTGGACAACCTGCGCGGCTTCCGCTCGCAGAACAAGCTGAAGAAGGCCTGCGAATCACAGGATACTGGGAGGTTCATGGGTAGTTATGAGTGGGGTTATACGTAGGGTAGCTATACTTACAACCCATATTCGGGACTTATAACCCCACTTATAACTAAACCCTAAACCCTAAACCCTACCAATGAACCTGCAAGTAGTGGACCCAAGAGCAGACGTAAAGCATGAACAAGACTTGCTATGTTGCCTTGGTTTTGCTGCGCGAGACGAGTCGTAAAAAATCATCGGAGCTTTATACATGCCTCGTTGGTGATAGCACTACCGTCTCATACTATTCTGCATCTTCATGCTCTTGTCATATTATTATTATTATTATTATTATCATTATTATTATCATTATTTTTATTATTGGGTTCTCTTGGGGTATGCTCATTGTGACTTGGTTACCATTGTCATGATTGTTGTAGTGCTGATGCATGTGTTGATGCTGATGATGAGCCCTTAACCCTAAACCTGAAAGACGCTGCAGGGTGGAAAAACCCTAAACCCTAAACCCTAAACCTTAAACCCTAATTCCTAACCCTAAACCCTTAACCTTTAACCCTAAGCCTTAAACCTAAACCCGAAACCCTAAACCCTAAACCCTACACCCTAAACCCAAAACCCAAAAACCCAAACAAAACCTCTGGTGCTTTGGCAAGGCTGCCTTGCACATCATCGCCGGCCAATTGAATGAGGACCAGATCAAGGCAGCGCCGGGGGGGGGGGGGGGGGGGG